TCCGTAGGTTGAATTGAGTCAACCAAAACTAGAGAGCGGGGTGGAGCAGCAGGGACAGGAGAGAGGGAAGCGACTGAAAGCCTTGGAGGTGAAGGCGGCCAAGCAGAAGGCGGCCGCTGCCAGCAAGGCCCTCAAGGTGAGCGAGCGTTTCATCTGTCATATGCTCTGCCATCCTGCTACCAGGCACCGCCCTAACACCGGTAGAGCCGTCCTCGTATCTTGGCGGATATTTTTCCCCTCATAAGCGCACTACTACGCTGGTGCCTCTGAGCTTCTGTTGTCTAAGAGCTGAGCTTGTTTTCCTGGATTGGAAACATCCTACCATGCAGGCGAAGCAAAACGAGAGGGAGCAGCTGGCGATAGCAGTGGAGGCGTCGAGAGGCGAGGAGGCAGCAGCGCAGGAGCAGATCAGTGCAGCAGAGGCGGAGGTGGGAAGGCTGCAGCAAGAGGTGGACGAAACTGCCAGGAAGGTGGCGGACGTGAAGGAGGAGTTGGATGCGGTGCAGGGCGATGTGGAGAGGCGGCAGAACGAGCTGCGGGCGTGTGATGAGCAGATGGCAGGCGTGGAGAGGGAGGTGGGGGAGATGGAGGAGAGGAAGATGAGCGCCGGCATGGAGAAGCGGAAACTGGAGCACCAGGTAAGGCTTGTAAGGGTTGCGACTGGTGAGGATTTGAGCCTGGTATTACAAGTGTTGATCCTGGAGGCGGGTGCTGGTGAGGCATCTGCTGTTTGTCCACCTGTGTGTGCGGTTTCAGACAGCTTCACACAGCTGTGGCAGCCGCAGCAAGGCTAGGATCAGAAGGGGGAAGCACAGGGCGAGTGAGCAGAGCGCCGGTCGAGCAGTGGTGAGCGTGAGGAGAGAAGGAACGCAGGTCGCCAGTCCGAAGGCTGAGTGGCATCCTCTATGCAGAGCGGCATTGTGGTGCCCAAGAAGCCATGAGACCAAGTGGCGTGGCGTGCAGCTCTCGAATGCTTATGTATATGGCTTGACCGTTATTCTGGTTTCCCCGTTGACGAGCAGCTGAAGACGACCTTTGAGACGTATTCGACAAAGCCAAACCGTCCCTCCAATGTTGATCCACATGCCTTGCTTGTGCTTTTCATTTTCTTTGTGCGGCGAGCAGGTGAAGACGCGGGAGGCGGAGCAGCAGAGGGGCGTGAAGGACGTGGAGCGCATGGAGAGGCAGCACGAGTGGATCGCCACGGAGCGCGCGCTCTTTGGGCGGGCCGGCACGGACTATGACTTCAACTCGCGCGACCCCGTGGCTGCCCGCCAGCTGCTGGCGGAGAAGCAGTCCCAACAGAGCAGGTGCGTGGAAGGAGAGAAAAGGGGACGGGTGAGGGGCAGGGGGGACGGGTGAGGGGCAGGGGAGACGGGTGAGGGGCAGGGGGGACGGGTGAGGGGCAGGGGGGACGGGTGAGGGGCGGGTGTGCAGGCAGGGGGCGGGTGTGCAGGCAAGGGGGCGGGTGTGCAGGCAAGGGGGAGGGCTTTGAGGCTTGTGACAAGCCTTGTCTTGGGCACTCATCGCCTTCCCTAACCCCTCCCTGTGTTCATGCGGGCCGTGTGCCATCCGCGTGTCTGTCCTGCTCATGGCAGTGTGGAGAAGCGAATCAACAAGAAGGTGATTGCCATGTTTGACAAGACGGAGCAGGAGTACAAGGACCTGCACGCCAAGAAGGACATCGTGCTCGTGAGTGCCGTCTCTCTCTCACTCCTCTTGCTGCTGCTTCTTCTGCTGCTATGTGCTGTGTTGCTTGTGGTTTGAGGCACTGCAAAGAGAGGGAAAGCCGGGGCGTAAGGGACCTGCAGACAGGCGAAGAAGGAGACTGTTTGAGCAAGCTGCCTCTGTCTGCTTTCCAAAGAACCTACTCACTGCAACCAGCCCATGCGTTCCGCCGTTCTCACTAACCGCGTAACTTTTCGTGTTCATATTTTCCCGTTGCCTGTTTCTAGTCGTTACTTATGATTCTAAAGAATGAATTCAGTGTGTTCGCTCTGTGTGCCCCCGTATCTCCGCACCCTCCGTGTGTGTGTGTGTGTGTGTGTGCGTGTGTGTGTGTGTGCGTGTGTGTGTGTGTGTGCGCGTGCAGAGGGACAAGGCGAAGATCGAGGAAGCGATAGAGCAACTGGATGAGAAGAAGAAGCAGCAGCTGAAAGTCACGTGGGAGAAAGTCACCAAGTATGTAACCCCCACTGCCATGCCACCTGCCATCCCACCTGCCATCCCACCTGCCATCCCAACTGAATCCCCTCCACAACCCCACTTCCCGTCCGCTCACCATCCACCCACTCATGCCACGTCGCTGCACGTCCCTGCCAACCACAATCGTTTCCTCCCTCCACTTCATGGCAGCCTTTGTTTTTCTTTTGTGTCAACTCAAAAGCCTCTCATGCCACCATCGCCTCATGTCCTGCCAACTACAATCAACTCTTCCCACCGCTTCCTTCATCCCAGCCTTCGTTTTCCCACAGGAACCTGGGATTCACATTCCACACACTCCTCCCAGACGCCACCGCAGTTCAGCTGGAGCAATCAGAGTGTCAGGAGTCTCTGCCTACCCTCCAGTACACGGCTTGCTTCTTCCATGATTGATTCTTTCCACCTCTCCCCTCACCTCCCCCTCCCCATCACAGGGATTTCAGGTCAATATTCTCCACACTCCTCCCCGGCACAACGGCCAAGCTGGACCCCCCCGAGGGGCAGGACTCCCCATGTCTCGTTCACCCTCCAGCACACTGCACGCTCCTGCCAACATTCACGCTTTCCATCTCTCCCGTCTTCCCCCCTAACCCTCCCGCCCACAGGGATTTCGGGTCCATCTTCTCCACGCTCCTGCCCGGCACAACGGCCAAGCTGGACCCCCCCGAGGGGCAGGACTTCCTGGCGGGGTTGGAGGTGAAGGTGGCATTCGGCGGCGTGTGGAAGCACTCGCTCTCCGAGCTCTCTGGCGGCCAGCGCTCCCTGCTCGCCCTCTCCCTCATCCTCGCCCTCCTGCTCTTCAAGCCCGCTCCGCTCTACATCCTGGACGAGGTGAGGGCGTGTGTTGTGTGTTGAGGCTTCCTTCCTGAGCCACACGTGAATCCTCAGCCACACAGCTTGTGAAGGTGGTGTTGCTGAATCCTCAGCCACACAGCTTGTGAAGGTGGTGTTGCTGAATCCTCAGCCACACAGCTTGTGAAGGTGGTGTTGCTGAATCCTCAGCCACACAGCTTGTGAAGGTGGTGTTGCTGAATCCTCAGCCACACAGCTTGTGACTGCTGATGTTGAACGCATTGAACTGGCCATCATCAACGTGTCACTCTGTTCTGTCCACTTTGTAGGCGGAGCGGAGGACGCAGTGGATCACAACCACTGGTAGAACACAGCCCACATGGTCAAAGCGCAAGTGACATTCGTACCCCTTGTTGATGCTCCTTTCATTGATCTTGACTGCAGGTGGATGCAGCGTTGGATCTGAACCACACGCAGAACATTGGGCACATGATCAAGCAGCACTTCCCGCATTCCCAGGTGCGTGCAGTACCGAGCCCCCACACAAACCAACCGACTCCTGAATTCATTCGGTTGTCGATGCCATGTTTCTATCTCGTGGTGTCTAATCACAACAAATCAATCTCCTTGAAGTCACATCCGCATTGTAAAAAACTGTGCTCGACCCTCCTCACCCTTGTATCTCGTACCGCCCCCCTGCCCCCCCGGCCTGGCTCCACACTCATCCCCTCCCCCCCCCCCCCCCCCCCTCCTCCTCCCCAACACCCCTCCTCCCCCTTCCCCCGCTTCCCCCTCCCCCTCCCACCAGTTCATAGTGGTGTCACTAAAGGAGGGCATGTTCAACAACGCAAATGTCATTTTCCGCACCAAGTTCATTGACGGCGTGTCAACTGTCACCCGCACCGTGCCATCCTCCTCCACTGCCGGGCTCACTCGAGTTGCTCCCGGTGCTGCGAATGGAGGCAGGTCGAGGGGTGGTGCTGCCAGTGTGGCGAGGGGGAAGATTGCAGGAGGATCGATGAGGTGAGCTGAGCGTGTGGGCTGAGTCGGTGGGCTTCAGTGGGGGGGTTGAGTGGGTGGGATTGGGTGGGGGAATTGGGGCTTGAGTGGGTGGGATTGGGTGGGGGGATTGGGGCTTGAGTGGGTGGGATTGGGTGGGGGGATTGGGGCTTGAGTGGGTGGGATTGGGTGGGGGGATTGGGGCATGAGTGGTTGGACTTGAGTGGTTTGGTGCGCTTCAGTGTGTGGGCTTCAGTGGGTGAATCAGAGTGGGTTATGTGAGCAACAGAAGCTCTGTAGGTTATGAAGATTCTGAAGGGGTCCTCACGAGCAAGAGGAGGTGTGCATAGAGTGCTCTCTTGCTGCTTCACCCAAGGTTTGTGTGTATCTCTCCGTATAAAATCTCTTCAATTCCGCTGTGTGTCTGTGTGCATGGGATGGGATGCAGGTCAAGGCAAGAGAATGCTGAGAACATCGAGCCAAGTGAAGTTCTTTAGAGTCTAGGAGTCTCTGCCCAACCCTGCAGGTACGGTGATTGCTATGCAGTTTTACGTAACTCCACAGCTTATGGGGTCTGTATATTGCCCGCACATTGTTGTAATGATTTAAGTACCGTCATCGCCCGGATATAAGACAGTGTTGAATAGAAGACAGGGGGTGTCTATTATACGGGTGTCTCTTATAAACAGGTGTTCCTTATTATACGACACCCAATTGTGTGTACGACTTAAGACAGTGTCTTGTAATCGGAACAAGGGTTTAGGGGTTTTCTTATAAATGGGGGGGTGTCTTCTAAACGATCCTTTGTTCCTCTACAGGGGTACATGCATGCATTCTTGAGTTTCTACTTATACCTAGCCCCCCTCCGTCACAGCCTCCTCATCTGCAGCAACAACAGGCTCCCTAACACCCAGGTCTGGCACTCGCCAGGCATGCCTAGCCGTCTGGGTTGGCTCGATCATGCGGTCAGCCTCGGCCGCCGCTCCGCGGTAGTTGGGGGTCTCCTGTTACAGCACCTCCAGGCCAGTTGCCACGGCCACCTCCCTGACGCCCTCCGCCTGCATCTCCGCCTCCTCCTCCTCCTCCTCCTCCTCCTCCTCCTCCTCCTCCTCCTCCTCCTCCTCCTCCTCCTCCTCCTCCTCCTCCTCCTCCTCCTCCTCCTCCTCTGGAGCCTGCCCAAGCAGGCGCGTGTTGTCGCCCGTGGTTCCCCCGAGAGTCATGTCCTCAGAGACATCGGTGGTGCTCCTCGCGCGCAGGTGCGACATCACGAGGTGGTTCTCCGTCCCGTCTAGCTTGCTTGAAATCCCACAGTGGCGGAACGCGTCAATGATGACCTGCCTGGGGACTTGATCCCACGCCTCTGCAATCCACTGCAGCACCACGGGGTGCGGACGCCTACGCAGGTTCCCTGAGAGCGGGACAGAGGCAGGGACAGCACTCCGTTAGAGACACGAAGGTGTAACAGGACATGAAGGGTTAACAAGGATGAAGTTGTATCGTGCAAACTGTACTCACCCTTCTTCGTCTTCAGGTGAATCCCTTCACGCATAAACCGCCTCGCGTAGCGTGCACGCACTGCGGCCTTGAAGCACCGGTTGATGGAGACGTCCAGGGGTTGAATCTGGCTCGTGCAACCTGCTGGGATTACTGCGGGGGTGATGCTATGCGTACGATAAGCTTGGAGCATGCCCTGGGTGATGTGGCCTCGGTAGGAGTCCAACACCAGCATCGCCCGCTTCGCGTTCTGGCCGCGCTGGGGGTTGAGATGGGGCAGCACCTCCTTGGTCAGCCAGGTCTGCACAGCGCTCTCGTCCATCCTACCGTTATCCTGTGCTTGGCACACGACTCCTGCCAGGCACAGTGGGGAGAGAGAGGGGTCAGACAAGTAGGCCGAGCTCACACCAACAGCAAGTAGGGCAATCAGGGCAAGAAGGACACCAGAATTCGTTTAGCTTACCGTCCGGAATGTCACACTTCGGCACGTTTTTCAGCTTGAACCACACCCACGGGCGCAGCTTCTCCCCGGTCGCGGTGCACGCGAGCATCACCGTCAGCCGTGTCTTCTCATACCCTGCCGTGCGGATTGGGACTGAGCGCGCGCCACGGTGCTCGATGGTCCTCTCGGCCGGCATCTCAACGAAGAGGGGTGTTTGGTCCGCGTTGATGATGCGGGCCAGGTCGATGTTGTGCCGAACCCTGTTGATGCGCACGAACTTCCAAAAGGACTCGCAGTCCTTAGCGCACTCTGCGCAAGAAAAACAACACCCAGCAGGAGGGGATGGGTAGATATATGAGAGGTGATTGGAGATATAGGCACATACGGGGAAGACTCAAGCGCGGATTCACTCCCTCTACCACTCACCAGCCGATAACCGTTGGCCGACCTTGGTCTTGACTCGCATGACAAGTTCCAGCGGTCACGGAACCGCTGGCTCCAGTGCGAGCTCGCGTTCCAGTTCTTCCCGGGGTGGTGTTTCTTCATCCACTCGCGGCTCCACTTCTGCGTGTCCTTCACCGTGATCGCCACCCCATTCGCGCGCTGCAGGCATATGTAGCGGTACAAAGCCGCCTCCATGTCGGGGTAGTGTGAGTGGCGGCCCGCCCCGTGCATCCGCTTGCGGCAGTTCGCCGCTCCCTTGTAAAGGCCCGCTGCAGCCTCAATGCTCCAGCGTCTGGCGATGGACGCAGTGGATTCCACGGAGGTCTTCTTGAGGGAGCCGAGCTCCTTGTAGCGGCGCGCCCACTTGAGTTTCTCGCGGACGGTCCATCCGCGCCTCTTCTTCTTAGTATCCTTGCTGCGAGGGGAAGGGGGACGGGTGTTGGGATTACGGAGGGTGGGGTCTTTCGGCTTCGCCTTCTCAGGGAATGAAGGAATCGGGCCTGCAGCCTCCGCGTACTCGTCGTCGCTGCCGAGCGCCTCGTTCACCACTATGTCATCCTTGCTTGGTGTCTTCTTTTTCTTCTTCTTAGCAGCACCCGTGCTGGAACCCGGGTCGCCGTCGTCCTTCCGCTTCTTCTTGCTTGTGCGGCGACGCACGGTGGCCTTAGCAGGGACCTCCGCGACCTTCGCTTTCCCCTTGTCTGCAGCTGTGAGGCGCGGTCCCCGAGCTCTCGTCATCGGAGAGCACCACACGGGATCTCCTCTTGTTGGGTTGAAGGCGAAGACGGAGCCTCCGCTTTAGCAGAGGCACGTCGTCGTCCGACGTGATTCGCCACGGGTCAGCACCTCCCTCTTCTTCGCCGTCGAAGAAGACCGCCTCTGCACCTGCCTTCGCGTCATCCGCATCCTCCTCCGCCTCCGCACACGCCGTCGCAATTGCCTCCACATCCTCGGCCGCTTCCGCCTCCTCGTCCACATCGGCTTCCGCCTCCGCCTCTGCATCCGTCCTCGCTCCCGCTTCCGCTTCGCCGTCAGCATCCGCATCCGCTGTCGCAGCTACGTCGTTGTCCGAGTCACCAGCTCGCCACTCTTCCACGTCGTCGTCCTCGCCAACCGGCCGATTCCACCATTCGTCGTCATTAATGTCGCCAGCGTGGATTTCATCCCCCGTCGCGCTGTCGTCGTGGCCGTTCTCCGGCCAATCCTCCTCGCCGTGTTTTTCTTCGCCGCCGTCCTCGTCACAGCTCGCACCAGAGGCGGCGGTAGAGCATCCCGCCTTGCGCGTATCCTTCGCCATAGCTACACGGATGTCATCTCCGGGAGAGTTAAATCGCCCGTAGTTGTTAACCTGGAAGTGAGGGCGAGGGGAGGCCGGGGGAACAGGGACTTTCCTGCGCATGGTTGAGCCTGCCGAGAGCAAAACGAATCTCAAAGTGAAGCTCAAAATGAAGCTCAAAATGAAGCTCAAGGCCGACAACCCCCCCCAAGCCAGAGTGCCCCTTCCAAAGGCTGCCAAGCCGCTCCTCTACGAGGAATCTCCTCGTAGAGGACAGCACATGACAGCCCTCACGCTGCCATCGTGCTGCCAGCAGCGTTCTGGAAGCATCCATGCGCTGCTGGCTGCAAAACGACACTGGCAGCATCATTGGATGCTGCCAGCACAGAGGGATGTTGCCAGCACAGGCAGCTTTGCTGCATCCCTCACGTGACATGCGGTGGTGACGCATGAATCACCACCGTGAACCCCCGAATTCAATGAATCTGGCCCCCAGGTGGTTTCTACACGCTTTGCAAATGTTACAAAGTTTAATATTTTTTTTCCATTTATAAGATTTATAAGACACCCTAAACCGTCCCAAATACAAGACAACCCAAGCATTTTTACTAGTGTATAAGATAAGACATACATGTCTTATATATGGGCGATGAGTACCCCGAGTTCAACCTAAAAAAAAAAAAAAATTCCCTGAAGGCACATTTTCCAGAAAAACAGCACCCTGATTGCTCAGGGTTGAGAAGTAGTGAACTCTGAATGTTCAGGGTCGAGAATTGAAAATCAGAGTCGTAGTAACGCGCTCTTTCTTTACCGGGGAAAGAAGTCTCACTCTGCATAATCGCAACATCTGCTCGAAATCTGACAGTCTACGGGGATTTCAGGCAGAATCTGCCTTGACCTAGCGAATCGAATCTGCTAATACGGAGCAAAGGTCGAATCTGCTGTTGGTGTAGCAAGGGTGACTATGACTGGCGCTGTGACTGGCGCTGTGACTTGCGATGTGACTGGCGATGTGACTGGCAGTGTGGCGATGTGACTAGCGCTGTGACTCGCGATGTGACTGGCGCTGTGTCAGAGCACAACTATTTCGACCAATCAGATTCGCCCGATCTCGATGGTGGGTGTATGGGAACGAAAATTCGAAGAAACTTCGTCCCGATAAAGCGAGGGGTGGGGGGCGGGGAGGGGGGGGGGGTACGCACGTGGGGGGTATGTCAGAATCTAGCAGCAGGAATGATTGAACTATAAAAGAGTTGGGTACAAGTATGAAACCCTAAAAGGGGCTGTACCCCATATTGGCTACCCCACTACAGCCCAGACATATATAGCATGCATATACTTTGACACACCCCCACAGGCAAAGTGGGGGAGAGCAAGGGGTCACAAGACCAGTCAAGAGAAGCAAAGCAAGCTCAGGGTGGATCACAACGTCACCACACACACTGAGCACAAGCAAAGGGCCACAAGGCCAGTTCACATGCAGGGGTATATATGAAAAAACAACAGCACAGTGATCTCTACCTAGCAGAGCAAGCATGCAGGTATATATAGATCACAGTACAAGCAAAGTCTACAGCAAGTGAGGAAACGAGGGCACAAGGCCTAACAGAGTGCAGAAACGCTGATGATCACCAGACGGAAGCGCCTTGGTGAATATATCAGCAGTGTTGGCCCGAGTGGCCACGTGAGCAAGACGAAGCTGACCACGCTGCTGCAACTCTCGAGCCAGGAAGTAACGCAGAGCGATGTGCTTCGTTCTGTGCTCCAGTCTGTGCTCCTGACACAAGGCAATGGCGGCCTTGTTGTCGACGTACAGCACTGGAGGAGAACGAGGCCGCTCTCCCAAGTCGGTCAGCAGGTAGGTGAGCCAGCGTAACTCCTGTGCAGCCATGGCTGTGGCGTAGATCTCAGCCTCACAACTGGAGCTGAGAACTGAAGACGAGCGTGTAGAACGCCAAGAAACCGAACCAGAGCCAAGGCTGAAGGTGTAACCCTGTGACGACCGCTGCGTAGCCTGGTTGTCAACCCAAGAAGCGTCTGAGTGGCCAGTGAGGACAACGTCGCTCCGTCCTCCAAGCACGAGCCCCATGCCCGATGTACTGCACAAGTAGCGTAGTACCCTCTTAGCAGCATCCATGTGCACCTTTCGGTGCCGACCAGGAGCCACGTAGCGAGCCAGAAGGCCAAGAGGGTACGCAAGGTCAGGACGAGTGCAGGTCATCAGGTACAAGAGGCAGCCCACCAGCTCTGGGTAAGGACCACTCGGCTCTACGGACTCGTCCGAAGGTGGAGCTGAGAGCGAGTGACCTGTAGCCAGAGGAGTGGCCTGTGCCGAGGACCAGGTGAAGCCGAAGCGCTGAAGGACCTGCTTCACCATGTGTGACTGAGTCAGTGTGATGGTGCGGCGTGCTCTGTCCCGGGTGATCCGCAAGCCAAGATAGCTTGTCAGCTCACCCAGGTCTGTGCACGTGTGTCTCTTCTGCAGCTCCGACTTCACCAGGGCGAGAGCCTCAGTGTCAGCAGTGGCAAAAACCAAGTCGTCGACGTACACGAGGATGTAGAACGGCGGCAGCGAAGTGTCGGTGCGCAGAAACAGCGACGGGTCAGCAGTCGACGGAGCAAACCCAAGAGCCGCAAGTGTCGTCCTCAGTGTGTCGTGCCACTCACGTGGCGCCTGGCGGAGACCGTAGACCGGCCGCCTGAGGCTCCACTGGGTACCAGGAGGGAACGACCCAGTGAAGCCAGGTGGGCGGCGCAGCCAGATCTCCTCATGCAGGCTGCCCTGTAAGAAGGCTGTGCTGAAGTCAAGAGAGTGAAGCTCGTAGTCACGCTGAGCGGCAACGTGCAGCAGCACCCGAAGAGTGGTCATCTTCGGGGTGGGGGAGAAGGTCTGGAAGAAGTCTACTCCCTTTCGCTGACTGAAACCTCGTGCAACGTAACGCGCCTTGAAGGCAGGCGGAGAACCTGGCGGCCGCTTCACCCTGAAAATCCACATGCCACTGACGATGTTCGCCCCAGGTGGGGGAACCTC